CTCTAATATTCCTTTACACTAAAATTTTATGTATTTCTCATAGCCACATTTTGCATTATTCCAGGTCAAATTAAAAGTTGCTAGTGTCTCAGAAATAAAATGAAAAAAGAACAGTTACTGACTTGAATAAATAAAACTTATCTTTCTGTGCCTTCTTTTTGCTCTCAGAATTTTAGCATATGAACCACTGATTTTTTTGCATTATTTAGCAATAAAAACAGACTTCTTTGTACTTTGTTTCTTTTGATGTTTTTCTCTCTCCACCAGATACAGCAACAGCCAGACCCCACAGTTCACGTCGATGCATTCCTTTATGATGAAGACTTGATTGATTCATTATGTGAGGAAGGAAAAATGAGCAGAAACTACTGTATGGTGTGTGGCTCACACCAGACAGCACCTTTAGGTAGGCACTTAAGCGTGCAAATCTGATGACTTTATATGTGTACTTTTTCCTTACATGTCATGAGTATGCAAATTTTCAACTAAGCCATTCAATGTTTTTTGAAACATCTGCAGCATAGCCTTTACCAAATATTTCAGTTAAGGAGACTAAGTAGAAATATTATCTAGGGCAGCTAGGCTACTTATTGTCCCCTAGGCCACATCTAGAAACTGTTTTTCACATCTAAAAACTGTGTAATCAGAGGCAACTCTTCAGGTCCAGAAACTAATCAGAAGTGACTGAATACTTGATGATTCATACTCAGCAGAGATTGATAATATTAACCATACACAGATTTATTTACAATGAAAAATATAACTTCCAAAGGGGCTGAAATACTCTTCCTATAAGAACATCTACTTGTGAAGTCATATGGTGATCAGATATTATTGGGTGGGCTTGGTCTCAGAAGACAGAGATAGATAATCCTGAGAAAGAGTTAATTCAGGACATAATCTGACCCAGTGAGGCATCCTGATCTGTAACAGAGAACAACTCTAGTGACAGAAAGTCTCTTGCATATCTGCCTCTCAGCTACAGCACCTGTGTCCCAAACAGGAAATGAGACTAACTCCATTCTGCTAATATGTTAAGTCTTCTGTTAATACATTCTTTGTTCAAACTGGCTATGATTGTCTAGTCTGTCATGCATCTCCCTGCTCACTTAGATTTAGAGTTAGTGCATACGGTGGGTTACTCTTCCTGGTAAACAATAGAGGAAAAACTGAAAAAGTGAATTATAACTCTAATACTGTAAGAAATAGATCTGATTTATAGAGATTTATAGAAGAGCTATATTTAACAAATAATAATAATTAGAAGATTAGGATGCATCTGCCCATAAAAATCAGTTTTTTAATGATTAGGTACCCAGGCCAGCCCAGATAACTACAGTAAATCTGAAACATCTATCACTATGCGGGACTCTTCCTCCCACATGACATGGGGCATGTCTAGCTAAAATACATTAATAGTGACTCTGTAGCCCAGAGAAGAAGCACTAGTGTGGCAAAGAGAGTGGTGAGGATGAGGATCCTAGGGAGATAAGGATTACACTGGTCAAAGCCCACCTACCCCCAAAGAGTTACCTTTGAGACCTAGTCACATCCTTTATTCTCTTCCAAAGGATTGTCCCACCTGCTTCCATTTTCCTTGCCACCATCCATTGGTTGTGACCAAGGTTTCCCCCTTCCTGCCCATTATATTACATAGAACATAATATAGTCTTTGGGTTACCTCCATATCAGAAGAAAACCAGACTCAGGCTATCCCAGATATTTCATGACGGAAACTGGGGTGAGAAGATAGACTAAGAGGCTAGAAATGGTGGCAATTAAGCTGAATGGAATAAGAACAATTTATGAAGTTATCTTAATCTCCTTCCATACCACTCCTCTCTTGCACTCCAGAACACATTCTAGGTTGATCAGGGCAGCCCTATCACACAATTCCAGAGATAGTCATTCGTTTGGTAGTCTACCATCAGTGCAGCAGTATGTGGTAGTTCTGAGGTTGATTCTGGGGTTAGGTGAGAAATTCAGAAGGTATGGAGGTAAGGAAGTCATCCCAGACAGCAACAGGTCATATGGAGAAGAGCAAGGGAAAAACCTAGGACATACCAAGCAAAAGCAAAAACAAATGAAGGGCACAGGGATAGGGACATTCATCTAAGTAGCTATTCCCTAGAGGTCTTTTATATGGCAGAGACTTAATATTTGTTCTTTAATGCAGCTTGGAGTGGATGAATACAAAATTATTACACTAATTTTTTTCTAAATAACTTCTGTATTTCATTGATTAGGAAAAAAACCATGAAATATACTTTATAAATATAGGTGAAAAAATTAGAAGTACGGAATATAATTGTTTATGCCCAAGCAAATTTGATGTTGACTCTGTTCTAATTCTCCAGGATTTATTTCACATTCCTTCTCCCTCATGGAATTGAAGTTCATTTATCATCATGTACTCCCTGATCTGTCCGGAAAGGTCTTGGTTGATGTTGGCTCCAGGCTCGGCACAGTCCTTTATGGGGTAAAGTTCAGCTTGTGGACATTCTCAACATTTGGAAAATACTTTCTTCTCCTGCTAGCAACAGCTTTGCCTACCACCATGCAAGGTGACGGCTTGGCTTTATTTATTAAAGTAACAGAATAATAAGGTTAAAATAGTATAACATAGGCAGGCACCTAAGTTCCATTTGATGATAACTAAATTTGGAATTTCAAAGACAAGCTGTCTGATTTATATTTTATTTTTATCTATACTAATTTGTCTCTGCAAGAAAAATGAAGGAATATCAACAAAACAGAAGCATGTGACCTCTTATGACACTTTTGCTATTTCTGAGTCACTATTGCCTTCTAAGCCCTACATTTTTTGGTACCATACTAGAATGGTATGCTGAGCTTTGATAAGAACTCTTATAAAACTGACAAATTAACTTGACCTAGAAAATTGCTGCATGGCCATAAGCAAGTCACTTAACACCTCTGGGCCTCTAGTGCCTCATCTGTAAATGACCAAACTGATATCCAAGGACACATCTTGCTCCAATCATCTATAATACAAAGTTTGAATGTTTGTTTCTAAAACATCACTTCAATGTGGCTTTTTTTAAAAAAATTCAAATCATGAGGATTTCTTACGTTCTTAAACAGTTTTATCCAAAAACTGAAATGTGGTTTCTGGTTGTCATTAGTAGACTTTTTAAAACATGTGGCCAACAGCAGTAGAGGCTCATGACAGAAACAGGCACTATCAGTTCCCAGCATCATTGTCTGCTTTAAACAGGAAAAGTTAACCCTTTAGTGCTTAATTTACTTTTCAGTGTTCAGACTTTTATTCTGTAATTAGGAAAGATAGCCATAATAGAAAATATACAATTTGTCAGATGGTTTTTATTTGGAGAACGTTAGAGAATTTGATCATTGACCATACTTTGCTTACCCTAGTCAATTTTCTGATTTGTTTGAAAAGTATAAGACTAAAATATTTGTGGCTATGCAGATATGGTGTCAGCATTGATAAATTTTAAAATATTGTCATTTTTCTCCATATTAGTCACTGATTCAGTCAGTAAAATTTTTTCAAATGCCTCCATATACACTGTTGAATATATTCTAAAAATCTATAATGAGCTTTAGATATAAAATTGGTTTTCACATAAGTTGATATTAAGTGATCTTCAGAAAATGATTTGATCTTTCCCTCCAAATTATTTTTTGTTATTGTAAACAAAAATAGAAATATAACAACATGTAGTCAATTCTTGATTATCCTTCTTAACTAATTGATTGATTGTCTTTGTCAGATTGCCGCACACCAGGCTGACTTCCCTAACCCAAACAGTATATATACTTCAGGCCATCTTACCCTACTGTTAGACTGTGCATGATTTTCCATTATATTCCCCACATGCTAACTCCTTTCTTGCCTTTCCCTGATGTAACTTCTCAAGAAATTACAGAAGTTGGGTATTAAACAGAGAACCTATATGTGATCACTTTTCTCATTTCCAACTTTGTTGAATGCCCAGTTTTGTCAGGAAAAATTTATCTTTAAAAATATA